GGAATTCATTTGTTTAGTCAATTACCAAAATTTGGATGATTTTGAATATTCACTTGAAAAGTTATCAAAGAAAAACATTTTTCATTTTGTAACTTCGAGGGCCCGTAACTTGGTTACGAAGACTTTAAGAAAAAAAGTTATATGAAGTACTGGTGATATTTTGACCCTATCTATACATTCCCGAGAGGAAAAGAGGAAGTCCAGGGACACCCTGTATATTAAGAAACAAAATTCACTGACCGAAAGTCTGACTTCCTAAATTCGCAGGATTACTAATTATTATACTTCCAACTGAGCGCTGAAAATATGGCTAAAAACGAGTTATTTGGCTTGCGCACGTACCCCATTCGAGTGCTCCAACAAAAATCATAATTTTAACATATCAGATATGGATATTGAGAATTGAAAAATGGACACTAGTTGGACAGTCCGCCAGCGAAAAAATCGTCATCCAATCATTTCAATGCTCATCAAAAATTTTCTCATTCCGAAGGTTTATACCGAAACATCAATAACCGGAATTTTTGTCTTCCTTCAAAACTATTTTCTGCTGAAAAATACTGATATTCCATTTTTTGATAATTTATGAAGAAAGACCTGAGTCGATAAAGGTTTTTTGTCACATTTTTGGAAAAACCGATTTTATTTATTTCTTGAGACCCCAGGTTCTAAAAGTGGTATGCCGCATAGCATACTCACCGTTTTAGTGGATAAAACTGTCATGTCACCAACCTAGGACATAACACCTTTATCTACTAAAAAACGTACGGTTGTTTGGTAGGCACGAGTTGTGTTGCAGTGACATGTTACTTTTGAGGTTATATTTCATAAGTTGCGTGCATGAATGAATGAATGAATGAATAAAAATACTTTTGTCTATATACCATTGGTAAATTCAATTTATACGACCGGTTTCGGATTTGACCTCATTATCAAGTATACAACTTGAGTTTTATACGTACGGTCAAAATGACCGTACAAAAAATAATAAATTCTTCATGGACTGAATTGAAGATCAAATTTGGCTTGACATATTTGAAAAATATTTTTCCTACCTTTGATCAACATTGGCAGTTGCTTCATCTAAAACCAGAATTTTGTTTTTCCTCAATATGGCTCTAGCTAAACATATGAGTTGTTTTTGACCTGAACTGAAATTGTTTCCTCCTTCAGTCACCATAAAATCCAAGGAGTCCACTACTTCTTTGAGTTCCACCTAAATAAATCTTGATCATTTCCAGAAAAAAAATGTCTTTGATAGTACCTGTGCCAAAACTTCCCAAAGTTTGTCATCTTCAATTTCATTGAAAGGATCTAAGTTGTACCTCAATGAAGCAGAGAATAAAATTGGTTCTTGTGGAATGATGGAAATTTTCTTTCGCAAATCTGAAAGTCCTACATTCTTTGTATCCACCCCATCAATGAAAATGGATCCCTCTGTGGGAGCCAACCGAAAGAGGGCTGCAATAATTGATGACTTGCCTGCCCCTGTTCGACCAACTATGCCAACCTGAGAATAGAAGCAATATAAATATAATGGTGTTTCACTTATTATTAGCAAATTCTATGTTAAAATTATGGCGTATGCGAATTATCCATTTCAAAAAGCGATAGGATCGAGAGAGACGAAACAGATGGAAACGCACCAAAAAACATTCCTGACGTCAGAAGGAATGTATGCGTGGATGGAGTCGGCGTGTTCCAAGTTTTAATAGCTATGTACCTGGACAGGCGTCAAAACCAAAGTAGCTATATGGTGTGAAAGTTTCTCTGAGTTATTTTCCATTGCAGAAGAGCAAGACTCAATCACCTTTCAGATTTTTGTCCAAAAGTGGCTGACAATGTGTCGTCCTGAATTTATTTATTTTGGTCTTCCATTGTCTAATATGATTTTACTAAGATTCGAAATATACGTAAGAAAAAATGAAATGAATGAATACCTAAAATATAAATTATATAAAACAATAAAACGTGAAATGAATATACAGTAAAACGAATGAAATAATCAAGGTAAAAAATGAAAATGACCAAAAAGTAGAAAAGGAAGTGAATTTTGATTTTGACACTGAACTGAAATGATATTGAAAGTCATTTCAGTTTTGAATGTATTACTTATTAGATATTGAATGAAGTTGAATTTGAAGCTGTTGCTTTGAAGATATTCACTAACAAAATAATCCTTTACTGAGTTCTTGAATTCAAGGAGCACAACGACAAAAAAATCCCCTTATATCATTTCCAAAATATGAACTACTTGAAAATAGAAAATAGAAATGTCCATTTGACATTGTCAAGCTGCGTCACTTGATTTGTAGGAAGTCTCTACCTCTGTGAATGAAATGCTGAAACTTTCTGGATCTCTGTATCATTTCATCATCAGGCGTGCCGTAGGTCGGAGGTTTCTGATTTGTGGCCATGAATATGTAGCATTCGTTTCTGTTAACTCAAAAAAAATACAGATCTAAACACTGACGCACTGATTTTTGGTGGACCAGTAAAGTTATTTTACTCTCCTGGAAAAAAGCGTTTTGTCGCTTGGTCGAGTCATGCATAACGCGGTGCCATTATTAGTTCCATACTTTTTACCTTCAAGGTGAAGTGCTATGCATTCATTGAAATAATTGCAGAGAATTACCAATGTAGGTAAAATATGTGGAAATTTTGTAATTTTTTTTTGGAACTTGCTAAAAATATAGCAATACTGATTTGGTAATTTCCTACTTTTCCTGCTCAAAGTGCGGCGCTAATCATGCGGTGATTGGAAATCCACTAAGTAAGTTCAACTGATGATTTGCAAGAAGAAGGCAAATGCAGAAGACAGAAGCGTTCTCCATTCTGCAGTTATCATTTGCTTTATAGCACAAAAAAAATACCATGTTCAATAGAAATGCGGTGTAACTGATGATTATCGAAATAAAATATTTTTCATATACAATATTTCGGAAAATTATGTCGTGAAATATTTTAGTTGAATTGTCTCCCACACTCCCTTCAAAATATATCAAATTTCACGGGATTATATAAAATGCGACAATACCGAAGATGAACAGTTACGGCGAATAACGAAGAAGCGAATTTGTGACGTCACACGTAGAGAATCGTTTTGATGTGACGCAATATCTACCATATTTCAAGGAGCAATTCAGTTTCAAGAAATGAGTGAACATGTATCGTTGCTATGCTGAAGAGAAGTATTTCATTAGAATTTGAGCAAGATAAGGAAGACATGCAATTTACTCATTGATATTTTCAATATTTTCAACTACTACTACTGTTAATGTTCGATATATTTCTTGGTTCACATATCATTCAACCGATTGAATCCAAATCAATAAATTCAATGTAAATGTTTCGTGCAATTAAGATACTGTATTAGATGTTTCTCGAAGAATATTGTTAGTTCCGGATGTCTTCAAAATATTCATAAACGATACAGTTAAATTGACTAGGAATCGTAACATTCAATATCCAAAATGATCCTGCGAGCGATGCAAGTAGGAGTGTATACTTCTGGTAGGGCCACCCATTTTGGTGAGGTCAAAGAAGATTGGTGAAACTGTGGACTGCTCAAATGAGAAATGAACCTTTTGAAAAAACTCGCAATCTATTCTTGACTGCGTAACGCCCATGCTGACAGGCAAGAATGGAAATAATTGGTGACAGTACCCTGTATTCACATGCGGAGTTCTGTGGAGGTTGACAGACATTTCCCTAACTATTCGTGGGAACAGAATGGATCTTCTTATACCTATTAATGAGGAGCCTCCTATCTCCCAGGTTCAGGGTCACCAGGGGCTGCCCTCAAGGTGGGTACTATCTTCCCTTCTGTTGTCGCTTATGGTGGATAGTCTGCTTGATGCCCTCGACAGAAGAAAATTTGATCTGCAAGCTTATGCAGATGACCTTGTCATCTTGGCAAGGTCCAGGTCGTGAAGAGTAGCTTGTAACAAAGCGCGTTGGATGTTGTTCACAGTTGATGCCTGAGGCATCAGCAGATGTCTGTCAACCCCAGCAAAACTCTTATAATCCCCTTTACCAAGATAAGGAAATTGTACGATCTAACGCCACTTTCCCTTAATGGTGTGGTCATTCCATCTGGAACGGAGGTGAAATATCTTGGCATTGTCCTTGATAAAAGACTCACCTGGAGTGACTTGGAAAAAGTTTTACACAAAGCCAGACTATCTCTATGGACATGCCGATGGATTTGTGGTAAAACTTACGATTTAGGTCCCAAAAAAATTCGTTGGGTTTATGTGATGATTGTCAGACCAATGATCACTTATGGTGCAAAGGACTGGTGACCGAAGGCTTTACAGAAAACGGTCCAAGCGAAGCTCTCTGGCTTACAGAGACAGGCTTGTCTGGATATCAGTGGTGCCATCAATAACACACCAACAGCGGCCATGGAGATCCTTCTAGATCTACCTCCTCTCCACATTTTTCTGGAAAGAACTGAACATTTCATCGCATTATATCCTCCTAGATTCTCGTTACCTCGTTACCTCGAAACTACATTTCCTTCTCAAACGACACCCTATATGAATTTTTCTATTATGTTCACCTTTATCTGGTTCACTACTCATGATGATGCAAACTTGGTTAACGAAAATGTGGCTTGATGTCCTTCTAACCGTAATCTTCGTTTTTCCTCTGTCGAAGTATTCTGCATTTCTTCTTCTTCCATTTGATGCGCTGTACATGACAATGCTACTATTATTAACAAATATGTCGCTCAGTGCCCTTCTGACCGTAATCTTTGTTTTTCCTCTGTCGATGTATTCTGCATTTCTTCTTCTTCCATTTGACGCTCTGTACATGACAATGCTACTATTATTAACGAATATGTCGCATAGTGCCCTTCTGACAGCAATCTTTGTTTTTTCTTTGTTGATGAATCCTGCATTTCCTCTCCTTTAATTTGGCGTGCTATGCGTGATGACCCGACTATTATTAACGAAAATGTGGTTTAGTGCCCTTTTGACTGTAATCTTTGTTTTTTCTCTACTCCACGCTGACTTCATATACACTTCTTACTCATATATAAACATATATATTGCATCGTATGAGTCTCACCTCGAGTTGGGTATTCCACAAGGTTACGCTACGAGATCTGATAATGACTAATGACTTGAGCTCCATAAGAAAAAGCATTGGATTTTGAGAAACGAATTTTTTTATTAAATGGCGTATTTTGAGACACCCAGTACACATCACACGTCAAAACGATAGAGCCTCGTTAAACTGTCCTGTTCCTCAAATGACGTATTTGAGACACCCTGTACACATTGAAGAATCGCATGCTAAAACGATAGGGCCCCGTTGAACTGTCATGCTTTTTCTTGAATGAGACACCCTATACACATTAAAGAATCACACGTCAAAACGATAGAGCCCCGTTAAACTGTCATGCTGTTTCTTGAATGAGACACCCTGTATACATTGAAGAATCGCATGCTGAAACAATAGAGCACCGTTGAACTGTCCTGTTTTTTCTTGAATATGACACCCTGTACACATTAAAGAATCACACATAAAAACGATAGAGCCCCGTTAAACTGTTCTGTTCCTTAAATGACGTATTTTGAGACACACTGTATACATTGAAGAATCGTATGCTAAAACAATAGAGCCCCGTTGAACTATCATGTTTTTCATCCATGTCTTTTTTTCTTTAACGCCCGTAACCATGGTTTTTCTTTGATTCAATTTTTTCATTCATCATTACTATTATACCGTTATTTTCCACGCTGAGGTATTTGAGACACCCTGTACATGTTTATTTTTCTTGAACGATGAGACATCCTGTATGGCAGCCATGTTTTTTTCGATTACGATGACAAATATTGCCCTCCCGCGTGTTTTCTTTACCCTCACTCCCCCCCCCCATTTCCCAATTAACACGAAAAAACGCTTGTGACGTATTTTGAAATGTCATTGCAGAATACCCCCTTTGTCCCATTTTCCAACGTTTCTCATTGGGATCGCCCCCCTGGCATGTTTCTTTTTCGAATGAGACACCCTGTATACATTGAAGAATCATACGTTAAAAACATAGTACCCCGTTAAACTGCCATGTTTCTTAAATCATGTATTTTGTCGCACCCTGTATATTCCGCTCAATGTCCGTTACATTGCCGCCATGTTTTTTTTCTTTAACGCTGGCAACCATGTTTTTTTCTTTAATACCCTGTATTTGTTCTCATTCCAAACGCGCTCGAATCGTTATCTTCCAAACCGCGATAACGCTGCTCGATTCTCTGCCGTACGCGTGACCTTGAAAGGAACCAAAAATTGCAGAATGAACCTTAGCCGTTTTCCCATGTTTATCTCCATAAGGAATGGGCCAGAACTCTTGCAGCCTATTTACTGAAGCTAGATGGACTGCATACAGACTTGTGCATAAATCAATTGCACAATCGTACAATTTGTGCCAATTGCACAAATCAATTCAATGCAGAGTGCAACAGAGTGTTGGTTGACATTGGAAGTCACAGCATTCTGGAAATGACCTCTGAATTTATGCCTCCAACTGTCAACTACGAACTGCCCTTATAAAGTACTATTCCCGGGTAGAGAGGACTGGATCCTGCGGGAGAAGGAAATATTAAGAGCAGATAGTTGTTGGTTCACCGATGGATCAAAAACACCTTCCGGTTCTGGTGCAGGTGTTTTCAGTCGCAGACCCAGGACAGAGTTATATACCTGCCTAGGAACTTATGCGACTGTATTTCAAGCGGAAATTCACGCTATTGAATTGTGTGCGGAGAGATTGGATAAATCCTACCTCACTCACAAGTTGGAAGCTCTTGGCTCCTACCGAGCAACGTCTAAATTGGTAAAAAACTGCCAAAAAAGACTCTCCTGGATAGAAATACTAAACAGATTGTCTCTGGTCTGGTTTCCTGACCATACTGGCCTGGAAGACAATGAAGCTGCTGACTCTTTTGCAAAGGAGGGTGCTGCCAGCGGCTTCATTGGACCAGAACCTGTCATTAACATCGCTTTGGGCTTTGCCAAACAAACACTGAACACCTGGATGGCAAGAATCTTCCAGGATTGGCTCACTCCAAGACGTTTATTCACCCTTCGAAGCTTGATTCCCAACAATTGTTGCACTATAGTAGGGATGAACTACGATGTCTAACAGGCCTTCTTACAGGTCACTGTCATTTGAATCATCACATGCAGAGACTTGGACTGTCGGAAAACAGTGTGTCGCCTCTGTCTGGAAAATGATGAAACTCCAGGGCATATACTTTGTGTCTACCCCGCTGGAGACCAAATTAGGTTCTTTGAGTTCGGCAGATCCATACTCTCATCATCTGACCTGAAAGACCACTCACCATACAAACTAATCGGCTTCGTTAAGAAGCTGGGTTTATATGGCCGAGTGTGAATAAGTGTGAGCCACAATAAACCCTTATGGGTTGCGGTGGAGGGTCGAATAGACCCACTCACTTCAGACCTACCTACCTACCTATCTTCCAAAACCTAGCAACTACCGGTGGAAACTCTACCCGAGGGAAAACACCAAACATGTGTCAGGAGACGACGGGTCCTATCTCTCTATTCCTTATCATGAAAAGGAAGAATGACGACTTCACAAGAGTCAGTCAATTCCTTATCCAAAGATTGATGAAAGTAAAGGACGGACTGCTGATAGAAACAAGAACTAGAGCTCAAGCAGAGAGACTGCTTTCGAATGAAAAATTTTCCAAGTTTGAGGTCGAAGTTTTTCTGCAAAAGCAAGGGTTCAGTGTTTTGTAAAGACTTTCTCAACTACCCAATTGAAGATATGGAGGATGAACTTGAATTTCAAGGGGTCACCAAAGAAACTCGTAAGTTATGTATATAAAACCCTCCTTTATGCTTATTCATCAAATGCTGACTAAATTATAATAAACTTATAAAAGCCACCTATCTTGAAGGAAGAGTCAGTTCTGTTAGTACGATTGTTAGAGTAACTTCTGTACAATAAAGTCTGTAAATCTAAATAAAGTCTTTTTAAAAAGTGGTTCCCGTGGCCCGAAACTATAATTGGCGCAGTCGATTGTAGGATAGTGGAAGAAAATCGATCCTGAATTTTCTTCAGTACCAACTGTTTGTCCACTACAAAAAACCAGCTTCGTCCACCAACCACCCACAAAAAGGACCGGATCGTCAGACTCAGCTACTACAGTCCTCCAGGAAAGAATACTGACACACCATCGAGGTAAGTCGAGTTTTCCTACCTGATTCCAAAATTTCCTTAAATCTTTATCGTAAATATTTGTGGAAGTTTCGGAAAAGTGATTATTATAATCNCTACCTATCTTGAAGGAAGAGTCAGTTCTGTTAGTACGATTGTTAGAGTAACTTCTGTACAATAAAGTCTGTAAATCTAAATAAAGTCTTTTTAAAAAGTGGTTCCCGTGGCCCGAAACTATAATTCGTATGAAACAAATGAAAGGACATGAAACTGTTGATTCACCAAATGAAAATTTTGGAATTCAACTGAACGAAACTACCCACTAATATACATGCAATTTACTACAAATTGAGAGTTCGTCCGTATTTCCCAGCACCAACGAGAAGCTTCAACTGCTAACTATTCGGACACATATACTCATGATGCCAAACAGAGAAAACCTGCGTCTGCGAAAAAAAACATGAATGAAAATGTGATGAACATATGTGCGAACTGCAAAGGAAATCATTCATCAAATTTGAAGAACTGCCCTGAACTTACACTGAAAAAAGATATTCAAAAATCAAGACGATACAGCAAATTCCTATTTTGAAGCTGAGAAAAAATTCACTTCAAGAACAGCAAACAAAAAAAATATATCTTATGTATAGTCTATACAGATTGTTGACGTTGAGAGATGCTTTGAGGACACGATTGAGACCAAATGAAATAACTCTCAACTCCTTTTCCTCATCCTAACCATCCAAACTAACCTCATTCACACTTCTCTACCACCGCCTTCTGAATTCAAAAAATAGTGGTCGAGCTGGAAGGTAAAATCTGAAACTAATGCAACATTCTCTGATTGGAGACGTCAACATCTCCTTCAACCTTGTTACCCTGAAACATCGAAAAAATGTTGGAGATTTGTATTTTTTATATAGATACGTCGTGGAATCAAATGTGCCAAGTGCTACCACGAGCAGTACGCATCATAAATACGCGACGGACTGTGGCTGCTCATCGTTTCGAGGATCAACTCAGTACTTACTTAAAAAAAAACTTCTACTCAATTGAGAAAAGGAACGAACAATAAAAGAAGTCCACCGCAGGACTTGAAACTGAAAAATATGACACGATACTCATTTTTTGCAAAACAACCGCTCAGGATACAGGTCATGTTATTCAACCAATAAAGCAAACACACTTAGGATCCTTTGGAAAATTTGACTTTCTGGAACTGTAATGGATGTGACCTTCATTATTTTGAGCTGAAAGAAAAAAATGTGGAAAAAAATCTATATTGTATATGCTTGCAAGAAACCTACCCCAAACCTAAAGAGGAGTTCCAAATGAGAGGATATTTTAGCTACAGAAAAATCCAAAACAATATACCTGGTCATGGAATCCAAATACATTCTGATTTTAAAGTAGTAGCAACACACATAGACTTCCATTTCAGCTTGACGACCTGCAGTGTCCACCTTCCTAACAACTGGGACTTAAATGGCCTTAGAACAATAGCCAACTAACTCCCAGAACTCTGCTTGATTGTGGGGAACTTCAATGCTCATAACCCACTCTGGGAATCTGAAAATCTTGACATCAGAGGAAGGTAAGCTGAAGAGTTCATTGATGACCTGAATCTTACAGTTCTGAATAGTGCTGAAAGACATTTTCTGAATCTCAGATCTCGCTCCTTATCAGTCATAGACCTTGCTCATCAACTCTTTTTCCTTCATTCAGATGGTACTGCCGTGTGATGATATGATAGATCATTTTCTTATGGGTATAGAGCGTTCCAATAAAACCCTTCCGACATCTTCCTCAAACAGTGGATTAGGAATAAAGCTAACTGGGATTTATACAAGGCGAAATTGAACACTTTGAGAGATGTTATCCTCGACAATGCAGATGACGCAGACGAAGAAATTAGCACCGTTAGTTTGAAATTGAATTCGCACCATAAAGAGTAAAAAGTTCACAAATGTATCTCAAGTACACAAAGATAATGGCCATCTCATCACAGATCCCCAGAAATATTTTGCTGCAATAAGGAACACTCCAAATCTAGGTCCAGATCTGCAGACAATTAGAACAACAGCAGAGAGATAGTCTAGAATATAATATTTCTCTCACTTTTTTCGAGTTTGAAACAGCCTTGGAAAATACCAAAACCTCTGCGCTTGGATCCGACGAAGTCATATATGATTTCATGAGATAACTTTCGAAATGACCCATGTATGTTATTCCTAATCTATTCAATAAAATATGGCAAAACCAGAAACATGGAGAGAGGCGATTATTATTCCAGCTATCGCCCTATATCACACACAAGCTGTCTGAATGAAGTTTTGAAGAGAATGGTGAGTTATAGACCACGTTGGTATCTTGAATCGAATGAAGTGTTATCCAATGCACAAGTAGAATTTTGAAATCAGAGATCCACTATCGACTAGAAATGAGATTTTCAAAATCCAAAACACACTATGTACACTTTTGCAGACTAAGGAAGCCCCATAAAAAACCTAGACTTGCAACTCAGAATTCTGAGATGAAAGTCAGAATTATACAAGAAGGGCCACACAAAAATATTTTTTCCGATTTGTATAATTCTGACTTTCATCTCAGAATTCTGAGTTGCAAGTCAGAATTCTGACTTGTATCTCAGAATTCTGACTTGTATCTCAGAATTCTGACTTGTATCTCAGAATTCTGACTTGTATCTCAGAATTCTGACTTGCAACTAAGAATTCTGAGATGAAAATCAGAATTATACATATCGAAAAAAAACTTTTTGTGTGGCCTTTCAACGCTTTTGTATAACATATTCAGAATCAAAAATACATCCTTGGAATTGAAATAAAGGCAATTTCGATTGTCAACCTGCGAAGAATATTAGTAAAAATAAAAAAAAATTAAATATGAGTATTGGAACTATTTGAATTGGAAAATGATCATGAAAGAGAGATTTTTGACGAAACTCATTGTGGAGGATTTCCAAGCCCATTATTTCACATTTCAGATAATAATTGTCAATTGTGAAATTTCCCATTTTTTTTACTGCATAGTACAATTCTTCAGCAATTGCAATATGATGATTTTCATAGTTATATGTTTCACTATCAATTAAACATATCACGTTTCTGAACAAGATGAGACTCACCTTTCTTCCTGGTTCTACGACGAAGTTAAGATTTTTCAAAACTTCTGGATCATCCTTGGCATATTTCAGTGACAAATTCTTGAATTCTATTCGTCCTTCATCAGGCCAGGACTTTGATAATGAAGTACCTGCGAATGGTAACGGACAACTAGTTTATTGTTGTTATATTTATTTTGCCATGCTTTGAAAATATTCGTTCAGCTACATAACTATCGTCATTTTCTCTAACACAAGTTGATTTTTGAATGAATGAATGAATGATTTATTGGTAGGAAGATCCTAATACACAAACATAATATACATAATATTTCATGTTATATAGACACACATAGTAAGGATATAATACATATATACATATAGGTACACATAAATACATAATATATACCGAGTCACTTACTATCTATTCTATTGTGATACCTTTCATATAATCAGTCAAATCTTTTTTGAATTGAAACAGGTTTTTATTATTCTTCACATTTTGGGGAAGTTTGTTATATTCAATGAGGCCTTTATATAATAAAATTTTCATGGAGTTTGATAAACTACATCGTGGCAGGTGAAAATTGTCATTTTGTCTAGTAGTGTAATTGTGAGTGGAATTTCTATAAATGATAAATTCTTCGAAATAAGAAGGTAGCATATGATTGGTTATCTTAAAAATAAATATCATTGCTGACCTGTAATATCTTTCACGAATAGACATCCACTGTAATGCACTGAGCATAAAGCATATACTTGCATAACGATTACATCCAAGAACCACCCTCATTCCTCTGTTCTGTAACTTTTGCAGCGACATAATTTTATTTTGGTCAAAACTGTATAACAGCGTACTGCAATAATCAAAATGGGGCTGTATTATTGTATTNACTTCTGATGGATGTTGCGTGATGTGACAGCTGTCACAAGTGACAGTTTTATCACCTAGATCCTGCTCACATGATGCACAAATATCGGCCATTCTGATATCGATCAAAAATGGTGTTTAACCCTCTGACTATAGGATAGCTATTTGTTACCAGTTTTTTCTTCACTTGCTGATAAGGTTTTTCCAAACAGTTTGTGCAAATGTAAAATCTTCAAAATGTAGGTGCAAACACAGATTTGACATGAAAAACTAAAAATACATTAAAAGGTTCTGCTCGCAGTTCACGATTTTCCAACACACCAAAATATCAGTATTTTTATACGGCCTTTACTCTTGTTATTTCTAATTAAACGGAGCTGTCCTGTTTCACGTGCACACACATTTTCTACTCGTCAAAAACTCATTTAAAATCTTATTGCCTACTTTACTACTTGAATGATCATTTTTCAGATTCACATTAGAACTAAACTTATACATTTATGATATATGAAACTTTTTTATTTCAATCAATGAAAAGCATTTCATTTTATATGAAGTGGAGAGAACTAAAGAGAAAACTGTGGTATATATAAAATGTTCTTTTCTTGCTGAAGTTTCATTGTGATAAAAGGTTCTGTCTCTCTTTTTATTTTTCATATATTCATAATTCCAGCTTTAATGAGGTTTTATGTACCGTTAATAAGATATTTTTTTTTCAGATTTTTATCAATGTGAAATTATCCACTATAGATATTTATGTGGAACAGCGTCTTGATTATATTCAAATCGTAACTCACCTTCTGGAGTCTCAAAAGGACCTTCAGTGTCCAGTTTTGTATACTGGAGAATTCTTTCCACACTTATTAGTTGTTGGATTACGTCTGCCAATTGTCGCATTCCAAATTGCAACATTCCCGTCATCATCAGGCATTGAGAAATGGCCAGTCCAACGGAACTGCTATTAACAGTAGTGATTGCTGAAAAATCATTTCAATGTGAGAGACGATTATATCATTTGATTTTTTTCCTTCAATATCGATGTGTACCACACATCAACCACATAAAGAAACAGTGATTTATTGTAACCAGAGAACGTTGCTAATCCAAAGAAAAGTTTATAAAAATTGTGTGTATGAATATTCGACCCAATAGAAGCGTTGATTCAATTCAGAATCGGATGGTGATATAAACGAAATCATTAGACTAAAATCCACGAGAAAATAAAAAAAGGGATAAATTCGAGCAAATATAAGTTTCTACACAGTTGAAGAAAGAACAGATTCATTTCGTCAAGGACTTAACATATAAAAATAAAGTTTGAACGTTGTAAATGACTCTGATATTTGAAGGTGCCTGATAACTGCATAATGTCATAGACGCCATACCAGTCATGTACTACAGACACCATGCCACAAGAACTAATTGGAATTGGGGAAAGCACTGGCAAGGGCTTTTCCATTGACATTAGTACAGATATGTTTGGTGTCTTTTTTGATGAAGTACTAGTTTCCAAAACAAGCAATACTCCCGGACACTAGAAATACAGGGTGTCCCTGGACTTCCTCTTTTCCTCTCGGGAATGTATAGATGGGGTCAAAATATCACCAGTACTTCATATACTTTTTTCCTAAAAGTCTTCGTAACCAAGTTACGGGCCCTCGAAGTTACAAAATGAAAAATGTTTTTCTTTGATAACTTTTCAAGTGAATATTCAAAATCATCCAAATTTTGGTAATTGACTAAACAAATGAATTCCGTCGATGAGCTTTCATGCAGGAGTCAGTTGTTTTGCTACAAAGTCAGGAACGGA